ATTGGTAATCCTAGCTCCCCTAGCAACCAGCACAATGCTCCACTGTAAACTGCATGTCACTATGGCAACCAGACTCAGTATTATCTGTTACAACTGTCAAGATCCTACATATCAAAAGTGACAATACTGTGAACCTGATGTAATGCTGCTTGTTTGGAGCCCCATTGTCTTTACAGCTGAACTCCAGGCAAACAGCTGAAGACAGAGATGAAATATATAAGAGAGATGGTCTCCCAAAGGGTTTGTATTTCTGTCCATCCAGTCCTGAGATTTACACAGCTCAAACCGTATGGAAGCCACAGTTAAAGGACATCGTAACCCAAAACAAAAATATTTTGCAATTTACTTAGATATGTTGGCTGTATTAGTTTTCTTTTTTCTGGCTTAAAACATTTTCAGAAAGTACAGAAAATACTTGTTGATCCTACCAGAAATGCAGAGTCCATGTCACTTCCTGTGGGATGAACTGAAATCACACAAAAAGGTTATCTTCCTTCCAAGCTATATCCTATAAACAACAGATCACCTTGTCCCCCATGTAATGGAAATGAAGAGAGGATGATGTGTCTGTTGTTCTGCCTGATGTGATAACCATGGTTCCCTCCATGAAGACAGTGGGGTGAGTGAGTGTAGCCTCCTAGCAACAAGAAATGTGTTACTGGCAATATTTCCAGGTTGAAACAAAAGAAAGCAAGCCTGCAACAAAGGCATCTGATGCAATCATCTCATCTAAGAACTGGTAAGCTGCAATAAAATGTTTAGGTTTAGATTATTATTATTATTATACAGGATTTATATAGCGCCAATAGTTTGCTCAGCGCTTTACAATATAACGGGAGACAATACAGCAACAATACAGTTCAATACAAGAGGGATAGGAGGGCCCTGCTCCTTGGAGCTTACAATCTAGGAGGGAGGGGCTAGTGGTACAAAAGGTAGTAACTGTGGGGGATGGACTGGTTGGAAGAGTAGAAGATTCCATTATTAGCTGAGGGCAGGATAGGCTTCCCTGAAGAGAGAGGTTTTCAGAGATTGCCTAAAAGTGAGCAGAGTAGGCGATAGTCTGATAAAATAGAGGTAGAGAGTTCCAGAGGATGGGGGAAGCTCTGGAGAAGTCCTGGAGACGAGCATGGGAGGAGGAGACAAGGGAGCTAGAGAGTAGGAGGTCTTGCGAGGAGCGGAGAGTACGGTTTGGGTGATATTTGGAGACAAGATCGGTGATGTAATTTGGGGCAGAGTTATAAATGGCTTTATACGTTATTGTTAATGTTTTGAATTTTATCTGTTGGGCAATGAGAAGCCAGTGGAGGGATTGGCAGAGGGGGGTGGCAGATACAGAACAGTTAGTAAGGTGGATGATTCTGGCAGCAGCATTCATGATGGACTGAAGAGGGGATAGCCTGCGATTAGGTAGGCCAATGAGGAGGGAGTTACAATAGCCAAGGCGAGATATAACAAGGGAGTGAATAAGTTGCTTAGTGGTTTCCGAGATTAAGAATGGCCGTATCTTGGAGATGTTGTGGAGGTGAAGTCTACAAGATTTGGACAGTGATTGGATTTGGGGCTGAAAGGATAGATGGGAGTCTAGGATTATACCTAGTACCCTGGCATGAGGGGAGGGACTGCTGATTGTGTTATTGATCTTGATGGAGAAGTCAGGGGAGGGGGCATGGGCTGGGGGGAATACTAAGAGCTCAGTTTTGGAAAGATTGAATTTGAGGAAGTGGAGTGACATCCATGCCAATATGTCACTTAGTAGGTTAGTAATGCTAAGCTTTAAATGGTTGGTTCACATTTACCAAAAAACTGCCTATGCAGATAAAGGGCGTCTGTAGATAAAAACCAATTGTGCAGCTCTGACCAAAGTTGAATCATACCCTTGCTATAGGTATAGGCCATTTGCATACCTCATGAAGCCTGCTTGGAGAACTTCAAGGACATCGCTAAGGAAGTTGTTATGAGAAGCCTAAGTATTAATACATCAGTGGTTCATATAGTGAACTCAGTGTAGAGCTATTCACCCTGAGGTCATCACAGAGGACAAGGGGGCACTCTTTACGTCTGGAGGAAAAGAAATTTAATCTCCAAACACGGAAAGGTTTCTTCACAGTGAGAGCTGTGAAATGTGGAATAGACTCCCTTAAGAGTTGGTTCTGGCCATCTCAGTGGATTGCTTTAAAAAAGACCTGGATTCTTTCTTGGATACACAGAATATAACTGGATACTAACATTTATAGGTAAAGTTGATCCTGGGAATATCCGATTGCCTCTCGGGGGATCAAGAAGGAATTTTTTTTCCCAGCAGGCACAAATTGGATCATGCTTTGCTGGGTTTTGTTTGCCTTCCTCTGGATCAACTGTGGGTGTAGGATTATAACTTTTTTTTTTCTATGGTTGAACTGGATGGACTTTTGTCTTTTTTCAGCCAGACTAACTATGTAACTATGTAACTATTACTGTTCATTACTGTAAATGACCTACACCAATAGCGAGGAAATTATTCAGCTTTGTTCACTCTGCTCTCTCCTCATATCAGCATGTTTCTTGTCAGTACATTTTGTCTGCAGTGCACCTGATTGGCTCCAAGTCTCCCACGCCGAGTGCTGCTTTATAGGGGATTGCATGAGGCTGATACCAAGTCAGATCTAGGTACTTAAATGGGTTGAATGAAAAGAAAATAATTTATATTTATTTATTACAGGTACTTACAGTAAATGCAAAGGAAGAAGGGTTGGCTGCACACCAGAGGAATGATGAAATGAAGCAATACATTTATTGATCCATAAATACAAATAGCACCAGGACATATGCAGAGCTGTTAACGCGTTTCACACAATCACGTGCTCAATTATAGTTTAGCCGAGTGATGGAGAAAAACTGAGGGAGAAGAGAAACATTGGAATACTGTTCAGTACCAGTGTGCAAAAGTGTATTTGCATTGGAAGAATAAATCTCCTCTAATGTTGGGTGTCCTACGTGTGTGTGTTGCTTTATTGGCTAAAACTATTAGAATAATTTTTTACATTTTAGGACAGGGTGTGTCAGGGCTCCGGGTATGACCAGAGGTATGTGAACTGACGCAGGGAAACGCAGGCTTCAGATATGTTATAAACAATAAGACAATTTATTAAAGACTAACAATACAAATATAAATGCAGTGCACCAAACCCCAAGCTAACACAAATACATACAACAAGGTGAAACAAACCCAAACCTAAACTGATACAGATACACAGGTACATACACATATAGAGCACAACGTAATCGGGCAGGCCGGGTCAATAACTATCGGGCAGGTAGGTACAGGAGGAGCAGGCGGAGAGAATGGTCAGGGTCACAAGCCAGGGATCAAAACAGGAGAAGTCAGCAGAGGTCAGGATCAGACCGGGTCGGCAACAAGTCAGGCAGAGGCAGAAACAGGAACGCAGGTACAAGATACAGGGGCCCATGGAAAAACACACACCAAGGCACAGACTGCAGGTCTGGCCATCCCTTAAATACACCTGCATAATCAGCTTCAGGTGTTTGGCTGGCTGCAGGGTTGAGTCTCTGATTGCTGAGCGCACCCGCTGGCCAGCCCTGGTACTGCAGCCCACAAGGCAGGTGAGTCCCACCATTACTGGCAAGTCCATTCCTGACAGGGTGCCTTGAGACTGTCCATAATTTTAACGGGTGCCTCAAGTTTAAAGGGTGCCTTGACTGAAAAAAGGTTGAGAAACACTGCTTTAGTTGAATCGTACATAAAAATTGTGGTAAGATATAGTACAGAAAAAACTCCATCCCTAAATTTTGAATGCCTTGGTTCCTATGAAGCTTTTCAATGATTCCGCATTTTTGCTAACAGTGTGCACAATGTTCATGGATAATAAAAAAAAATGATGCACCCTCCACCCCTAATCACCACCAGAGATGCTCATATTGCTTGCATCGTTAGCTCAGTGTACATGTGTGCCACAGAAAAACTGTTACAAATTTGTATATGGAAACCCAAAAATGAAAATATAGAACAGCAAGCCATAAAGATGTGTAGCGCTACCCTCCCGAGGGCCGCTGTGTTTCTGGATCCCCCTAAGCTCCGCACAGCCAGGCAACACACATTTTCCACACTTGCATCCATAGTCAGTGAACCGTCCATGAGCTTGTTTTCTGTTATTTTATTAGGGGAAATAGCTGGGATAGGGTAATAGGGATAATGGCATGCCCAGATTTACTGAATCAATGTATGGGGACAACTTCCTTCCTATTTATAGAAACAGATCCTGGACTGTTCTTATATTTGAAAATAGGAGTGAAACCCCTGCGCTACCTCAATAATGAGAGAGAGGAAGAAGAAAAAAACAAAAAATGCACACAAGCAGAAAGGAAGATAAAAATAGTGATGATAGTGGCTGCTGCTAACATCAAATTGTGTTCCCACAATAGTAGAGCAAATTAAAAATAAATCAGTGATGTAGCGCTGCTAAATAATAGCTACAAAAAATAAGAGTGACATAACTGAATAAAACGTACATAATGAGTCCATATATGTAAAGTCAATCAACTTGTAATAAAGATTCTTCCATAATTCATGTGCTTTCTTCTTGTGCTGATATCCCAAACACCATCAAGTAAAATAGTGCACATAACATATAGTGCCACTTCAGAGCTCACAGAACTCTCACCTCAGAGCACATGGAAATGAGCTTTATGATATCAAATAGGCAAAAGGATTTTTCACTTTTTCAATCCACAGCCATGTGACAATAATCAAACACCTTTGAGCTTTCAATAGATTGTCAAACCAGAGCCAGGGATCGGTCCCTTTAAGGGTGATGGAGGTCACACATTCCTATCCTTAAAAGGGAACAAAGGACACTCCCATGGTGCAGTATGTACTAAAACAAAAATGTATTAAGAAGCAGTAATACACTCACATGTAGTCAATGAATAAAATGCCATAAAATCATCTGATGTCGGCTTCACTTGTTGTCAGTTGAACTCACTATTCATGTCTGCCCAGAGCCAAGACCCTTACGTGTTACATCAAGCCCACGCAGGGGCGGACTGACCATTTGGAAACTCGGGCACTGCCCGAGGGCCCGGGGTCAGTAGGGGGCCCCATGAGATGCCCCTGGTACCTTTTTCATAGGATTTTTTGAGTTTGGGCAAGGACACAGGGTCCCTATGATCCCTTATTGCCCGGGGGCCCCATGAGTTGTCAGTCTGCCCCTGCTCCCATGTGACTTCATTAGAAGGATCCCTCTCTCCTGTAGAACTGCTCCCAGCTTCACAGCCTGCAGACACTACCAGCCCTCCTGGCTGCTCTGAAAATCTCTGAGGACAAGGATAAAGGATTACGCACAACGCTGTCCTTTGAAATCTCGTTACATGTGGCTGTCTCTCCTCTTGTAAATTCCTGAGAGTGCTGATGTACTCACTCTGTCCTCCTTGCTCTGACTGCTTGCAGGCCTTGATCCTGTTCATGCCATACTGTTGAATGGATCTTCCTGAACTAGCCCTAGCCCAGCCTGGAGGCCAGCCCCCCTAGACCTAGGGGATCCCTCTCAGGCCACCGGCATTCTCCCCAGCACTCCATCTTCCGCTCCACCCTGCCAGCCTGACTCTCCCATATTTATGGGCTGGTTCAGCACTCTACCAGGGTCTCCAAACATGGGATTGGTTAGACTCCCATAAGCATGTAGATTAGGTCTCCACCTCTTCTGCCCACTGGCTTCTAGAATGTTCCAATGGTCCTCCAGAACCAGGTGGAAGTAACCTTTTAAGCCACCCAGTTTGACCTGCATAAACCCAACCTAAATCACAGACTCACACAGGTACCATGAGTCATACACAACAGATTTGCCTACACTATTCTAGTAACACACTAGAGGGTAGCACACATGTATTCACACGGTTACACACATCGCATGTATCATCAGGGTGCAGTACCATTCGTTGTCAATGGCACTTCAAGAAACGCAGATGTTCTGCAACCCATGGTAATGTACTACCATGCCTTGTGGTTTCCTGCATTGAAAAACATAGCGCATGTCAATTTCTTTTGGATATTTTAGTGCGTTGGCAGTCCATTCATTTGAATGGGGTGCCTTAAAGCAAAGCACATTAAAGTGGAACTTCACTCTTTGAATCAACAGTGACTATTTGTAATCCTTATCCTGCTATATTAGTGAACAGATAGGAATGTATATCATATTTTCTTGTTTTAAAACAATTTTTTACATTTTTTAGTTACTTCCCAGTTTCCATGCCTAGGCAAATGATCTCATACATCCCAGGAGTCCTCAGGAGGAGAGGAAGGGGTTTTCTCAGCTAAGCACACCCTCCTGCCTGCATGCCTGATCTAAGGGCAGATGGATTCCAGGAAGTAAATGTTGCATGAATCATCTGCCCTCATTCAAGATGGTCAAAGCCAGAAATGATACTGGGTGTTTTTCTCAATAAAATAAAGCATGGAGACATGGATGGATGGGGGAATTTGCTTTGAATATTAAAAATGAATTAAATATCGCTTTTAGTTTGTGGTGAAGTGCTGTGTAAATTGTTAGTTCTATATAAGTACCTGTAATAAACAATGTGTGCAAGCTTCCATGTGCCCTGAAAATCATTACATGCATTTAGAAATACCCTTTAAATAGATGTCATTGCCCATGTAAGGTTTTTTTATACAAGTGTCGCCTTCTGAAGAGCGATCAGTGGAGGGCATTTAAGAGGCAGTGAGGGGGCCATATGTCAACTCCTCATCACCTGTTTTAACCCCCAAAAGCCTGCACCACTATGCTGCACCGGTGCAGCCCCATTTATTTATGTATTTCAGGTACTTATATAGCGCCGTCAATTTATGCAGCACTTTACATATATATTGTACATTCACATCAGTCCCTAACCCTCAAGGGGTGTATAATCTAAGGTCCCTAACTCACATTCATACATACACATACTAGGGCCAATTTAGACAGGAGCCAATTAACCTACCAGCATGTCTTTGGAGCGTGGGAGGAAACTGGCTACCCGGAGAAACCCCACGCAGGCACAGGGAGAACATGCAAACTCCAGGTAGATGGTGTCGTGGTTGGGATTTGAACCAACGACCATAGTACTGCCAGGCGGAAGTGCTAACCACTTAGCCACTGTTTAGTCTAGGTTCAAACCTATGCATTTTCTGTTGCGTTTTGCAGAAACACTCAGCAGTCCATTTAACATGATTCTCTATGGGACAGGTTCACATCTCCACGTTTTCACCCGGTGCATCTTTAGAAAGGGTCAGGGACTTTTTTAAACACAAAATGTTGCGTTTGTGGTTCAATAGACTTCAATGCAGATGCTGCAGAAATGCATGTAGTGTGTTTTTTATGAGTTTTTGATACATTTTTGATGCGTTTTAATCTGCCCAGCAACAAGTTGGCACAAAACACATCAAAAACGTGTCAAAAACACACGTGCAAAAACGCAAAAAGCACTGCAGAAATGGATCAAACGCAAACTGCATAGGTGTGAACCTAGCCTTACTTGGTACTGCCCACTAATCGTGATGGGAGGATCATTGTTGCTGCACCGTGGCATGTGTATAACCCCAGTTTGCAGTTTAGGGGGCGGTAAAAACGTGGTTCAGATGTCTGTTTGTAATGCCGTAAAAAGCTTCGTTACAATGGAGGTTCTTCTTCAAAAGGAAAGTTTTTGTTGACCTCTCGCTATGCCCATGCCCGCACATTGTACTTTTCATTCCGGCAGCAGCTTGGTGCTTTCAGTGTAAGTCAGCGTCTATCTGTAATCAGAGTGCAGTGATGATCCCCAGGAATGGCAGCTAACGAGCAGATGCAGCCTCAGTACCTCTTCACATCTCGTCTTTCTGTCTTGCTCTGTCTCAGTGTCAGCGGCAATCCTTGCAGTGCTCAGTCTGCACAGCAGTTATTTATCAGTCCATGTTACAGTATCTGACAGGCTGAGATATTGGAACTATCCCTTGGTCTCTTGATTTTCCTATAATTCAGACATCTTCAAAGCCTCTTGCCAGCTTCTGTCAGAGTCTCTGTCAATCTCCATCGGCAGGAGTTGCCTGTGATTTATCCCTGGCTTGCTATGCGTCCGACTCTCTATGTCCTATAGATTTGTGAGTCATAAGGTTCCTGTCAGTATTCACATCACTGCCGCAGTCGCTTTGCCGCTGACAAGTAAATAGATATTTTTAGGTGCATGTCACGGAGAATCAGCGGCATCTTCCGGCACTATGGTATCCATAATACTCGGGTGACCGGGACAGTTTTGGATCCGTACAGTTGGTAAGCGTGCAACCTTTGGTGTGAATGTGAATTTAAAAAAAAAACACATTTATCTATTTTTTATTATTTATTTATTCTTTATTTATTTATTTTTTTTATTATTTTAGGTACTTATATCGCAGCGTCAATTTATATGATAACACAGAGATGTGAACCTGTCCCATAGGAAATCATGTTAAATGGACTGTACTGCATTTCTGCAAAATGCTGCGGAAAACGCTTAGGTGTGAACCTCGGGTAAAAGAGCTTTGCAAATTTTATATACCACAATGTGCCACGCTTCACTTGAAATGATACATCCAGTTGCTATTACTTATATTGCATACCACAATAAATAAACTATTATATGAAATATGAAAATATGAATAAAAATGAATAAAAAATATTAATAAACCAGTGTCAATTTCCAATAACAGTGTCCATATAATTATCAAAAAAAGTCCATAAATGAGATTTCTTCAGACTTGCATAGTACACTTTAAAATACAATAACCTGTGCTTCTAAAATAAAATATTTTGTGCCAAAAACTTGCATGGACGTGCTCCCCCACCGGTTGTGCTCTCACCTCGAGTATATGACCAAACCGTTAAGTAAGGTAATATAACGCTTGTGTCCCTTTAAATGGGCCAAAGTATGGATAAGATGGTTTCCTACTGATTGTGGTCCTTCACCACTCAAATGATAATCTTCCCTTCCACGGTGGTTAATATAGAGGATTAGATCAAATCATAGTGTATTATCCTTTAAAAACCATTTTATTAATAAAAGTAATACACTCACATATACTCTGTATATAAAACCACTTTGTTCACAAAATGTGTCCTCCAGATCTTTTCTTATGGTGAAAAACCTAAATTGCCAGCTGGTGTCAGTATGGAACCATCAAGCGTCTTGACGTCAAAGCCCCCTAAAGGGCTTTGACCTTACGTCAAAATTACATCCAAAAACGCCAGTGTGCCGTGTTTTACTGCATTTTATAGGGTAAAGGCAATGCACTGCATTATAGGTTGCTCCTTATTTCTAACTTGTAAAGTTCTGGACAATGTTCACGAATGGTGAACTTCATGAATCCTTGGGATTGACTACACTTAACCCATGACTAGTGATGGGCCAAACACCCCACTGTTCAATTCGCGGTTCAAACTTACCAAACGTTTGACCGCGAACAGGGACAATTCACTAAGCGGTATCTTACCACATCTAAGTATGTAATAAGATACCTCACAGCTAATAAAAACATTCTTTAATGTTTCAGCTGTCAGCGGAGTTCCCCACTGATAGCTGAATGTAAAAAGAATTGCCGGCATTGCAATTAAAATAAAAAAAAAAAAAAACGGCCCTTTGAGTCTGGTATGGATTTTGAGGGGAACCCACACGCCAAAATTTTCAAAAGATAGCATGGGGGCCACCCAAAATCCATACCAGACCCATATCTGAGCATGCAGCCTGGCAGGTCAGGAAAGGAGGGGACGAGTGAGAGCCCCCTCCTCCTGAACCATACTAGGCCACATGCCCTCCACATGGGAGTGGTGTGCTTTGGGGCAGTCAAAGCACGTTGTCTCCATGTTGATGGGGACAACGGCCTCTTCCCCACAACTGTGGCCAGATCCACCAGATCCAGCCCCCCCCCCATGTGAATGAGTATGGGGTACATGGTACCGCTACCCATGCACAAAAAAGTGTAGTGGTAAAATGACAGGAGACAGTCTTTGATAAGTCCTGTATTAAAAAATAAAAAATAGATCCAACATCAATCATAATGCCTACCGCCACTCCGCCCCAACCTTGTGATATCATCATGCGCTGTGATTGGCCAGGTGCATTGCTTTGGCCAATCACAATGCACTCTCTGGGCACAGTGCATTGTGGGGTGGGGTGTGGTGGGTGAACAGCCCACTGAACACATGACCAGCCCATGTTCGAGTCAAACTTCTGTTCTAC